TTACAGAGGTAAAACATTCCGGCAGGGAGATAAACTCAAGGAGATGCTCTGTCTCTCAGGGACATCTACATTGCTTTTCTCTTTCCTTCTAGTCATATATATCAAACAACTAAGTCAAACAATCAAACATTTTAGTCTATTTTTATCAATACTTGCACTCGTTTGGATAAACATAGTAAGGTAAGTAAAGGTAAAGGCCCTCCCGTTGTTCGTCGATTTGCTCGAGTGGGCCCAGTAATGTCTCCATTGGAGACTTTGTTGTTACTGTGTTTGGCATATCGAATACGTCACGGGGAGCTTGCCAGGCTCTGCCGTGCGGGCGAGATACTCTCGGTAGCCTGCCCGGCTCTCCGAGAGGGGTGGAGGAATCGAACTCGGGTTGGCCATGTTGGCTGCGTGCAAGGCAAACGCCCTACCGCTATGCTATCACTCCAGCCCTATAAACATAGTAAGAGACAAAGATCCCAAAACTTATTTCTCTTGGCTCATAGTTCTCTAGAAGCAAGCAAGACTTTTACCGTAAATCCCAGACTAAGTCTCCTCAGGCCAGTTCAGCTTGTCCTTTCCCATGTGGGTCCTGTCTCTTAAGTCATAATATCTTGCACCAAAACCATGCATTGATGTGGTTTCTAGACTGTCCCATTTCGATGCCAGGGTAGTTAGCCACTCTTTCGGGTCCATCCCCGCCCCATGGCGGGACCTCAATTTTGGGGTGTTAGGAGCTACAAAAACTGAAGCCTGAGTCAAGTACTTATGATGGATGCCCAATGATGGAGTCAATCAAATATTGGGAGCACAGTATTAACAGTCTTCCTGTGTTTAAGCAAAGAACAACATTGCTCTATAGTAAAATATGAAATGCAACAATGCAACAGCTACGTGTACCTAGGTCGAGAAGTCAACATGACAAATGACCTGGCACCTGAGCTGCTTAGGAGGAAGAGAGCGGCTTGGAACACCTTCAAGAACATCGAAGAAATAGCTAAGAGGACGAAGTACCTCCGGCTCCGGGCACTTCTCTTTGATTCCACTGTTCTTCCTGCATTAACATATGCCTCAGAGACCTGGGCCCTACGCAAACAGGATGAGAACGCTATTCAGGTCTCCCAAAGAAGAATTGAAAGAGCTATGCTTGGAATATCAAGTTTCACTCAAATGAGAGAAAGAATCCGGAGTTCCGACAGATGGGCTGGTCACGTAATGAGATTTGAAGACGACCACTGGACTAGAGCTGTTACCGACTGGATTCCACGGGATGTCAAAAGACCGTGTGGCTGCCCACCTACCAGATGGTCAGACTTCTTCATCAAGATCATGAACGATCAGTTTGAGGCTCTTCAGGTTCCCAAGAGCGAACAGATGCCATTGGGCTACACTAGCACGCGACCGGGACAAATGGAGACGTTACTGGCGCCCGCTCGAGCAAATCGACGACTAACGGGAAGTTAAGTGATTAAGTGAAAATAAAAAGGCTTTAGGGGTAATAGAAAATACCTACAAATACAAAATCCAGAATGACCAGAAAGTTTTGACTTATAAGTAACCAAGATTGACTTGGGGAACTATGACAATGAGATGTAAATCACAAGGAAAGATTAAAGATAAACTTGGGATTAGGGATACTCGAAAGAGCACTGTAAGTTTCTCTGGGAGGAGAAAAAAGGGGAAATTCGCTGAAGAAGCCTATAACACTTAAGGTTAATATCCAACACACATGATAGCCCTGAACATCATCTGTAATATTTACACACTTCAATGAAATTTAAAGATCTTTGGACTTGACTTGTACTTTTACTGGAAAATCACAAGCCTCCACTCTCCACTTCCTCTTCTACTTCCCCCTCTATTACTACCATGTAATTTTCAGAATTGACCCTTGAAAGGCTTTTAAATAATACTTATCTTTGGTATTATAAATAATACATAACTTATGTATGAATCAAAGAATTGGCCCTAAAACTCTTGGACTGACATCTGGCCTAGGCTGGTCATTCTTAGGTTATTCTCAGGTAGACTCCCTGAACTTTTCTTCTCTCTGACCTTTTGCTGAGGGCACATGACATATGAACTTACCTGGGTGGGGTGTCTGGGAGGGGGACCCCTGAGTGTTTCCAAACTCCTTCCGGGGAAGTTTCTTCTGGAGACTGAAACCCAGAAAAAGACAGCAGGAAGGAGGGAAGCTTGGGGCCCCAGAAAAACTCAGGACTTGGAGATCAACAACCGTGTCCACCATATACCCCAGAGTGAACAAGCCAAGGGACTCTACGAGGAGATATTTACAGCTCCCTGTGTTTGCTCATTAAGCCCTGTTTACTCCCTCACTCCAACCCCTGAGAACATGACCGCCCCGTGGGACACAGGTCTGGACACAGGAATGGAAGTTTCCAGATTTCCTGGAGTTCTTTTGAATAAACACCAGATGTTCATGGTTCACCTGGTGTTTATTCACACTTGACAACCCCACCCTTGCATCTTCTGACTTGCAGATACTTACCACCCCACATCTTAAGCCAAAGCCAAATTACAGTTTCCAAGAGCCAACAGTGGAAAATCAGGCTTGGCTAAATTCCCTGCATTTTCCAAGTCTTGATAGAAATGGGACTTAACCTATGAGATCTCTGGAGAATTCTACGGCCCAGGATAAACAAAGAGAATTGTGCTACTTTGATGAAAAACCTTGAATATCACAAAAGTCAGGCCACACTTTCGTCAAATCAATGAGGAGTTTCACATTTATATTAGAAGTGGAGAATATAAAGTAACAAAATAGGAGACTAAAATCCTAGAATAGTCGAGATAAGTTACAGGAGGTTTACTCCATGGCTTGAAGGCCATCTGCACATGCTAGGGGAAAGGGCAGCTCAGACAGAGAAGGGACCACCAAGTAAAGGGTGTTGGGAGGATCCTCCCAGAATGGGAGATGCATGCTGAAAGTAGACTATGGACCGAACATGTTTGCCACTCAATGCCTCTTTTGCAAACCTCAGCAACCAAAGGGAGAGAGAGAACAAAAGGGAACGTCCTGCCACAGATGTGGAATGGGATGGGGGTATGTGAGGGGTGAGAGGGATACTGGGATCATTGGTGGTGGAGAATGGGCACTGGTGGAGGGATGGGTACTCTATCATTGTCTAACTGAAACCCAAGTACAAAAACTTGTAAGGTCAACAACTGTACCTCATGGTGTTTCACTAATAATAAAAAAAAGAAGTGGAGAGCCGTCACTTAAAGAGTCAATAAGAGGAGGAATTTTTTTTCATTTTAGAAAAGAATTAGCGAGGTTGACAAACACACTTAGCATGACTCATGAAGAAAAGATAAAAACTCAGATAAGGTGTACCAGAGATAGAAAGTGGAATACATATTTCAGGAGGAGAAGAGATTCTAAGCCATTATTATGACTACATTTATGTCTCTAATATGGGGGATCTGCAAGCTCAATCAGGAGGTTGCAGGAAGCCCAAACAGCCCAATCAGGAGAAAGGGAATTGTTACTGTGTAAAAATTCCCACACACTCACAAAAATAAAAATATAATAGAATCCAGATCTGAACAGGTTCACTAATAAATTGTATCAAAGCATCAAGAAAAACCTACTACCTAAAGTCCTTAAACTTGTCTAAAAATAAGTCAAGATAAAGTAATCGAAAACATCCACATTTGGGGGCGATAGCACAGCAGATAGTGCATTTGCCTTGCACACGGCGGACCCGGGTTTAATTTCCAGCATCCCATATGGTCCCCCGAGCACTGGCAGGAGTAGTTCCTGAGTGCATGAGCCAGGAGTAACCCCTGAGCATCGCCGGGTATGACCCAAAAAGAAAAAAAAAACATCCACATTGGAAAACAAATAGAAGTTTTTGTTTAACTATTAACAGGTGACCTGATAGTATATATTATCTCTAAGTGACATTTAGTTATCTGCCCAAAGTTATAAGAGAGGGAAGGGATGGGCATTGATGAAATTCCTCAGGATGCTCAAGAGTCTCTGGGAGGGCCCATTCCCCAGTTTCCTGAGCTCCACTGAGGAGATCTCACACACACACACACCCACACACACCAAAAAAATTCACAGAAATATAAAATGCAGTTTGCAATTATGTTTCACCACATTTGATTTTTCTCTGGGCTGGAATGATACCACAGCAGGTAGGGCGTTTGCCTTGCACACAGCCAACATGGTCGACCCGAGTTCTATTCCTCCGCCCTTCTCGGAGAGCCCGGCAAGCTACCGAGAGTATCTTGCCCGCACGGCAGAGCCTGGCAAGCTACCTGTGATGTATTCAATATGCCAAACACAGTAACAACAAGTCTCATGATGGAGATGTTACTGGGCCCGCTTGAGCAAATCGATGAACAACGGGAGGACCGTGATCCGTGATGAAACTTTTATGAAACCACAATGGTCCCCTTTTCTTTAGTAGTATTATACTTTGGGGTGACACTCTCAGTAAATCTCCTTACCCTAATAAGCATGGTAAGATTTTGACCTTTGAGAATCAGACGCTGTTTTAGGAATTCCCTGTAGTTCATAATATAAGTGAGGATTTCCAAATATTTCAGACCCGAGGCTGGGGATCTATTTGAGAGAGTCAGCACAGCCCAGGGAAAAAGCCTTCCATATCAAAGAAAGGAGAAAGCTGAATGAAGTTTGTCATACAGATTGCCAAAGGAGGTTGCAATAAAAGAAATGGAAACTTCAGAAATCAATAAATGTCTCAGGGGGACAGGAGCAATAGTACAGCGGGTAGGGTGTTTGTCTTGCTCGTGGCCAACCCGGGTTCGATTCCCAGCATCCCATATGATCCCCTCAGTACCGCCAGGAGTAATTCCTGAGTGCAAAGCCAGGAGTTAACACCTGTGCATCATTGGGTGTGACCCAAACAGTCAAAAAAAAATTTCAAGTTCCATATTCCTCTTTGAGAGATATCTCAGGGCTGGGTTCTTATGATTTGGTCCAGAAATGACATGCATTTTCCCATCTTAGGATACTTGCCCTGTTACTTTTTCTTCCCAATCAGATTTGCCAGAGCGCCCTTGATGTCCTTATTTCTGAGGCTGTAGATGAAGGGGTTCAGCATGGGGGTGACCACTGTGTACATCACGGAGGCAAGTGCCAGGGACTGTGAGTTCTGGGTCACAGCAGAGCTCAAATACACACCTAGTATCGTACCATAAAATAAACAGACCACGGACAGGTGAGACGCACATGTGGAAAATGCTTTATGTTTGCCCTGAGCGGATGAAATTCTGCGTATGGCGAAAACTATTTTACAGTAGGAGTAAAGGATCCCAGCAAATGCCCCACAGCCCAGAAGACCAGCTGACAAATAGATCACTAAATCATTAACGAAAGTGTCAGAGCAGGCAAGATGGACCACCTGGTTGAGCTCACAGAAGAAGTGAGGGATCTCCACGTCTCTGCAGAAGGACAGACGTAACACCATTAAGATTTCTAACAAGGAATCCAGAGCACCAATGAGAAAGGAAGCCAGAAGCAGCAGCCCACAGAGCCGGGGGTTCATGATAACCGTGTAGTGCAGGGGGTGGCAGATGGCCACATAGCGGTCATAGGCCATCACGGTCAGGAGAAAGTTGTCCAGTGCTACAAAGATTAGGAAGAAATACATCTGGGTGAGGCAGCCCTCGTAGGTGATGGCTTTGCTGTGTGTCTGGATGTTCACCAGCATCTTGGGGACGGTGGTGGAGGTGAAGCAGATGTCCACGAAGGACAGGTTGGACAGGAAGAAGTACATGGGCGTGTGGAGGTGGGGGTCTGAGCTGACGGCCAGGATGATGAGCAGGTTCCCCAGGACGGTGATCAGGTACATGGATAGGAAAAGCACAAAGATGAGGGATTGAACCTTCGGTTCCTCAGAAAATCCCAGAAGAAGAAATTCTCTATTTCCCGTCACGTTCTCAGATTCCATGGAGTGGAAAAACCTACAAGGAAAGAACATGATTATTTCCCACATACATAGCATTACTTACATTTTTTTGAGGTAATGTTAGATTACAAACGTTATTTGTTTTAGAGTCAAAATTTCACTCCGTAAGATGTATGAGCTTCTCCTTATATTCAAACTCGAGAAATTAACTTGAGTATCTTATGAATATACCTTGTTTCTCTAGGAATCCTTTTTCAGCATTTCCATATACATCTATGCAAATATTTGCCTGGTATTTTCAGCATTTCATAAGATAACATTCATTATAGCATTTGAATTGCAATTTTTTAAATATAAATGTTAAATTTGACATTCTTTATGTTACCCTCCATAGCACAGCGGGTAGGGCGTTCGCCTTACACGCAGCCGACATGGCCGACCCGAGTTCGATTCCTCCGCCCCTCTCGGAGAGCCCGGCAAGCTACCGAGAGTATTCGATATGCCAGACACAGTAACAACAAAGTCTCCAATGGAGACGTTACTGGGCCCGCTCGAGCAAATCGACGATCAACGGGAGGGCCTTTACCTTTACCTTTACCCTCCATATATTCATTGGGAAAAATGTGCATTTTTTAATACCATAGTCCTTTATTTATTTTTTTTATCAGCTCACCATGAGATACAGAGTTAAAAGTTTTTCATGATTGAGTTTCAGTCACACAAATTGCAATTTCTCAGGAATGTGATAAATGCTAAATAAATACTGATTTAAATACTAAATATGATGATATTAGAGGTTCTGTATAGGGCACATGTCTAAACACTCCAAAAATCTAAGCAGAGAGGGATTGTGATTAAGAGGAGAAGTTTTAAAGCAGAACATATACAATGAATGTTATTTTTTTTGTTTGTTATTTTTGGTAACCGGTGATAGGGGTCACCCCTTCCTCTATACTCAGGAACTACTCCTCATGATTCTTGGGGCACCACATGGGATGCCAGGGATCAAACCCAGTTCAACTGGCAAGAGAAGCACATTACCAGTGAGAAAATGATATATTGTAAATACTGCTGAAGTACCTGTAATAATAAGTAAAAAAGTTGTAATAAAAATCTTCATGGAATCAGATTACCTTCTTTTTAAAGAAAGGATTTTCAGGTGAAGAAAATCAAATGACAGGTCAATGATTCGGATTAAACAACACACACATACATACGCAAAAGGGGTCATAATAGACCCATGTAATCAAGAAAGTCTTACACATTTTCCATAATACAGTTTGGCATGCATAAATGAACTAAAGAAAAACAACCTAATGCCAAAAAAACTATAATTATGTGGAAATATTGTAATAAATCTCACTGTGCTCACACCCTATACAAGCAGAGTATCCCATGGACAATGAACACACAAATCTCACATCCACCAGGCCGGCAGATGTGCCGTCACATAGGGAATGAACAGCCCTTCCTCTGATATGTCATTGTCTTGAACATGAATCCACAGGGAGAAAGAGAGGGTGTCATATATGAACAACTTCCTCCTGTTTCAAGCTCTTGCTCTTCAAACAATCCTTTACCTGAGTCTATCTCACAGGTAAACAAACCCAAACGTGCAACATCTGCGTAATAACACAGAGATGCATTCACTATACGACGTCTGCAACCAACACAGACCTCGTAGACTTCCATTCATTGCTGCTATTTTTACTTTCCGTGAAAGAGTTTCTTTTATTTCATTTGATTTGACTTCAGGGTATTTATTTTGTTTGTTTGTTTGTTTAGGGTCAACCAGCAGTATTCAGGTTTACTCCTGGCTCTCAGCTCAGGAATCATTACTCAAAGTACTCAGAGGACCCTGTGGGGTGACAGGGATTGAATCTGAGTCGATCCATGTAAATCAAGCATCCTACATGATGGGCCAACCCCTATTTATTATTATTAATAATGTTAGTGGGGCCACTCGAGCAAATCGATGAACAACGGAAGGACAGTGCTACAATGCAGTGTTACTACTACTACTACTATTATTATTATTATTATTATTATTATAAAGGTTTATTGGAAAGGAACAGTAAAGAAACTCCCCAGTCAATGTATTTTAGTTCATCTATCAGTTTAGAGGCTACACCTAGGACTTCAGGGAGGCACTCCTGGTTCAGTGCTCGGGGTCACCCCCAACCTAGTCCACTGTAAATCTCTTCCATCTTCTGCGTTTCTCTCAGTCACTCTACTTTCACTGCCTACACAGTTACTCATAGCGTACCTTTGGGGTCACCCTAAGTAATACATCAACGTAGATTAGTCAAGTCATCATACAAAGCAACAACAAAGGCCATGAACTGTTCATTCTGGCATCCTTCCAAGGCAGGCAGTGTTCTCACCTTTTATTCTTTTATTCTCTCACACGTTTCCCTGCATCATTTACACCACTCGCATTTATTGCATCACTGCAGTGTTTACTCACCTGAGTGGGGCTGCAGGGAAAAACGCGAGTGGAAACCCAAATTGCTCCCTAGGTGCTTAAGGATGGAGGTGGGAGCAGGATGGGCCAGCAGGAAGGATGCAAACTGCAAACCTGGCTTCTCCCAACACACTCACAATTCCACAGCTGCAATCCTGTCCTGAGCAACCCAGGCTGACCCAACTGAAGAGCTGAGCAGAGCAGGAGATATTTACAGCCTCCCCAAGTCTGCTCATTAATCCCCGCTTCATTCCTGACTTGACCTCTGAGACACCACTTCCCTATGGGAGGCTGGTCTGGGCAGGATGGAAATTTCCCGCAGGTAGGGGCTATTCTAGGAGGTCTTGTTAGAAGTCAGGTGTATGGAATTCTCAGGGCTGTCCCTTGAGTCTCCTGATTGACATAGATGACACCTCCCATTTCTTGGTATCAAACCCCTGGGATCAGTAGAAGTGTCATACATCTATCTGCTTTGTTTTTTCAGAAAACCAAATTTCAGTTTCTTGATACATTCATTAGACTTAACATGAACAGATATTTGGCATTAAAATCCAGCTTCATCAGAGAAAACCTAAATTATGTGGCAGGGTTTGTCCACCATGTGCTGATAGGGAGAATCCTCCATCCTGTCCATGTTCATGAGCTCTTGATAAAGAAGAGGTATCGGGAAATTAGCAGGGCTGTTGCACCCCGAGTTCTCCCAAACTCAATGAGGGCCACCTAAGCCAAATAGGAGAGATGGACAAACAGCTCAATTTTAGACAATGGATGCTGCTAGCAAACAGAGAATCCCTGATTAAAAAGACTAGATCACTCTCAGTTAAAGATGCTATTCATGGCTTATCACCCTCTGGACACATGGAAATATCTGAGTCTTTGTTCCAACTTGTATGTTAACTCTTAAAGAATGATCCCATGATGACCCTGTGATGGGCCCTGGGAGGATGGTGACTCTTAGCTGTTGGATGCCCTCTGGTACAGATCCCCATCCATTTCGGTGATGTTGTCCTGCTGATTACATCTGGGGGCTCTCCTTGAGGTGAGAGATCTTTGGAGATATTGCTCAGAGGCAAAGAACAGTGCCAAAGAGTGAGTGCCCCCCCCATCATTTATAATCATTGCTTCTCTATTATGAGAGGTTAGGCTTGACTCTGGTGTACTGCTTTTGCTAGGCCGTTCTGTTGAGTTCCCTGCCACCCTTTTGTCTCACCCATTGAGGTGCTTCCATGGCTTCTGGCCTCCCCGGGGCTCCTTATCCTTTAGCACAGGCCCCTGTGCTAAACTTCACTCAGTTAAACTTCACTGTGCTGTGCTTCCCTGCATTGATTCCCAGTCTATCAAAATCCCCCCACTCTCTGGCAGTTACTCTCCCCTATATCTGGTCTGCGGAATTGGGAATAAAGGTTCTTGGTGATTGTCTGGTGATCATTCTGCAACCCATCAATGGTGGGCGAGGAAAGTCTATCAGTCTCAAATGACCAGGTTTACCCAGGACCCCTGTTTCTGAGTTTAGATAATCAACTAATATGTTAAGCCAAAATATCCCTTTCAAGGGGCTTCCCAGGAGAGCTTGCTGGACAGTCACATGGAAATATCTGAGTCTTTAAATATCTGAGCTTGCTGAAATGAAAGGGGGCTTTCATTTCTGAGCCCTCTAGTGAGTTGAAGATGTTGGGAATGGATTAATAAAGCAGAAGACAGGATGGGGAGTTTATACACCTTTTATGCCCAGAATGCTGGTGCCCTGAGGTGGAAGGCTGCCCCCATGGGGGTCCTATAACTGCTCTACCTCTGCTCTCCCTCCCTGAAAAAACTCCCTTTGAGAAAGACCATTACAAAGTTGCTTGTCCTGGAAGACTCAGGCACTTGAATGTGTAAAAGTCTAGCCCAGGGAGATTAAGATGGATATTTGACAAAAGAATGTTGTTATTCTACTTCTGATGATTACTGGCTCTTATCAATAAATACTATACCTGGAGGTCAGTTGAAGCTTACAGTCTATGAGTCTATGAGTCCCTAAGGCCCTTGTCGCTCCCCCCCACACACACACCTCTCTCTCTCTTTCATTTCTGGGGGCTGGTCCCTAACAGAACTTTGTAGTAAGCAGTTGCCACATGTCTTAGAGTTTGCATGATGTTGTGTACTCAGAAACTTTTAGTCTTCGAGAAAACCAGAGATAGGTCTCCAAGAACAAGGAAAAGAATCCCATTTGCCAATCTTGTTGATAGTTTGGAGCAGAAATAGTGACTCTGGTTGACACCATAGACAGAGCAAATAAGATCCAGGATCCAGGAAATTAGATCCATGACTCTGAGACAGGATGTGTACACATCAGGAAACAGAGTGAGTTCAATAAAACAGACATGGACCTGTATGTATAATTTTCCCCCAAATGTAAAAATATGGTATCAAATTTTCCTTTATTATAAAATCATAAAAAGTCCCCTGTTGTGAAATATATGTCTTTCTTTAGTTTTAT